CATGTATTTCCAAATATAACTCATACCATCCAAGTGGTATTAAATAATTTTAATATAGAAAACTGACTAGGTAAAATTTTTCAAACCAGTTCTAGTTGTAGTTCTTCTCCAGGTTATGCAGATATTTTAAGCAGAAGTTTCTCAGGTGCCAAGAACAGGGAGATTCCTGGTCTTTCATCAGAAACACCTCTCTTGTTTTGGCCAGTCAAAAGAGAACAGAAAAAAAAAAATGTAACTTCCCCCAAATTCATAACTTGTCCTTTTTTCTTTTTTGAAAATACATCTTTGACTCCAACAGCATCTGTTCTTGCCTGTGTTTCTTGATGCTCCTGAAGGGCAGTTCTATTTCTTACACACTTGCTGCTTTAATTTTATTGCGGAATGAATTTTGTCCTCGTTTTGTGTGCAAAATTCCTGATAGACATAAATTTTCTTTAATATCTTTGTATACACAGAGTTTCTGTATTACTACCAAGTTTGCTACCTGCCCACCAGCAAAGCCATATGCTAGCATCAAATGTTAATTGGCCATCAGTTGGGTATTTAGTCCTACTCGTATATATGCTAAATGGGTAGTACAAGAAACTTGAAGTTAATGGAACATACTCTGTATTATGTTAAATTGCTTGTCTGCCATAGATTTGTTCCATTAGAATCACAACACAAAATGAGTTTTTAATTCCTTTCAGCATTGCAGGCTCTTTAAAAGTCTTGCTTGTTTTTCAGTGTAGACTTACAGAAACCCAGTATCCCACAGGATGGAGGGGACTTGTGGAGGTTGTTGAGTCCAACCTCCTGTTCAAAGCAGGCATAGTTAGAGCAGGCTGCTTGGAACTTTGTCTGGTTTAGTTTTTAATATCTCCTAGGGTGGAGATGTCACAGCAGCTCTGGACACCTATTGCACTTTTTCACCATCCTCATAGTAAAATTCCTTCCTTCTGCCATGTTGCCACTTGTGTCTGTTACTTCTTGTATCTGTGTGCACCTCTGAGGAGAACCTAGCTCTGCCTTCTCTTTATCCTGAGATTAGGTGGTTGCAGGCAGCAGTAAGGTCTTCCCTTCACCCTCTGTAGACTGAGCAGACTCAGACCTTAGCCTCTCCCTGTATGCCACATTCCCCAACTACATTTCCCAGTGTCTGCTGGACTTGCTTCAGTTTGCCAGTAGTTTTTCTTCAGTGGACACCATACCAGACGTGGTATCACAAATGCTAGACAGTGGAGAAAGAGCGCTCTCTTTCTTCAGTTGGTTTCACTAATACAGTAGTAATAATAGTTCACAATATTTCCTTAACAATACTACTGATAATTTTGACTAATGATCTGCTACAAAGACACACTGCTGAGCTGTTGAATTAAATTACTCCATCCTAGGAGCAGGGTGTTGTGTGGCTGGTGCTGCAAGCGGGGCTCCAGCTTCTAGGACCACAGGGCCCCTCTTTGAAGAACAAGGACTGCTGTGCAGGGATGGCATTCCCCTGGCCAACTGGGCCAAGAGTCTCTTTGCCAACAGGTTCACTGGGAAGAGTTTTAGATTAGGTGTGGTGGGGAGGGCTGTCACGCTATGAAGAGAAGTGAAGGCATGGAGGCAGTGAAGAAGCAGCTGGGGGACGACAGGACAGTGAAGGGCCTTGCCTTGGCTGCACCAGCCACGCAGCGTTGTGTTGACTGTGGTGTGCATCCACTCCCAGCTGAGCAGTGAGCCCACTCACTGAGAGGGCTGAGGAGGTAGCACCAGGGTTACATCCCCTTCACCGTTACCTCAGGGCTGTCAGTCACTCTTGATATGCTCAGGGTTGCTCTAGTGGTACCATTGGTGCCCACACAGATAGGCAGTCGGGGGGGGCACTTAGTGGTTGGGAAAGAAGAAGAAGGGAAAACAGAACACTGTAGCAAATGAGAATGTTAACCAGTGCCTTTACTAAAGCTTGTTTTCATGGAGTTTGTAAACAGAAAAGGAACCCACATCACTGGGTAACCTTTAGTTGTTGCTGTCTTTGGTAGGAGTCTTTCTCAGCAAAATGCAAGTGTTGTAAGAAGCCATGAAAACCTTTGTGAGTGGGAATTTGACATTCTCAGCTTTGTTTAAAAAGGGACAGGAAATGTGCCTGATGTCTTTTCTACCCAGGTTGTCATTAGCACCCACTGGCAGGTGTTGACCAGTCAACCTGGAAGTGCTTGAATTACCTCTGATGAAGAGTTGGTGGCACAGAAGATAATAGATGGAAAGGTGGTTGTTGTAAATCTATGGACAGATGTAGAATCACAGTCATACAACACCTATTAGGCTATGTGTTCTTAGGGAGGTCCTGATTCTAGCCAAGGACTGCACAAAGGGTACCAAATCTGCAGTAGTCTGTGCCTAGGGATGGGAAACCATGTGTTTGTGTTGGCAGGGTGTAACAGAATAAGAAAATACAGAACAGTTTAAATAATAATGTAGAAAAAAGTAAGAAGTTGTAGGTCAGAAGCAGGGAAGAGTTTTTGCTTTAAGGTAGTTTTCGGGTAAACATTGATCAGATATTGCTATTGTTTGGTGGATCTTAATAGTACAAAAAGCACTTGAAACACTCAGCATTTCTCAGGGTTGTGCTGGCACACCGTGCTGGACTTTGGGCCTGCTGTGGTAAGGTGGTGCTCGGTTTCTCTGAGGTCACTGGTAGGAGGACCATGCTTTACTGCAAAGAGAGGGCTGATGTCTGCATTTGGACTGGAGTGCACGTTGGTGAGTGTGGATTGCACTGGGAGCAGGGAAGGTGGGAAGTGTGTAACCAGTACTGTGGTCCCACAGCTGAGGCTCCTCCTCTGCAGCTGCTCAGCTGGTGTGTTACACCTGGGGCCAAGAACAGGGTTTCAAAGATTCACACCTAAGGTTGGCTTTGCAGTTCAAGAGCACTTACAGTGAAAAGTGAAGCATGTTCTAAAGTCTTCTAAGGAACGGTGTTTAAAAAAATACTGTTAAATTTAGGTGTAAGCAGCAAAAGACACCACTGTTAGACTCAAATTAAGATTTAAAGGGTAAAGAGGGTTTGTGGAGACAAAGAGAGGGAAAAAGGTTTAGCAAGCTGGTGCCTGGGATGGAATGAAAGGAAAAAAAAAAGAAATCTGAGCTGCAAACTCATCAAAACCACAGTTGTTAATTGAAAAGCTGACAGACCTGTAACTACAGCAGCGCTTCTGGCCGCCACTATAATAAATGTAACTGTACATTTAGAATAATTTGCTAATTTGCCTAAGTAACACCCACAGACAGCAACATGACATAAATACATTAGTGGAAGCAACAACTATAACCAGCTCGTACAGGTTCTTGGCTGCTAGATGGATGGATCAGATGAGCTGGAAAAGATTTACAAAACAGAACAGAAATAGAATTTTAACAATATTGCAGTGTACAGGATTTCTTTATTTTCCTATATCCCAAGAATGCTTTTAAGGCCTGTATGGAGTACAGGTCTGCAGAATGCTAAGCATTTCAGAAGCAAAACTGACAAAACTTACATCTCAAGTAGTCTATCAGGTAAATAATTGAACTTCCATCATTCAGTGTACAATTATAAATATCTGAAAAGAGTTTCTATTAATAAATGTTCTATTAATAAATGTAAAAGGTGCATATATATTGAGTCCACAGGAAAGACTGGAACCTGTACAATCAATTTTCCCAATACAAGTGTTACAGGTGTCTGAAACTTAGACTTCAGAATTGCCCAGATCTTTTCATTTGACAAGTAATGAGTTCAGCCATGTGGCATCTCCTCTGGGCTAGCACTGTTTTCTGTCTTCTCCTTCCATAACTCTGGCTCACAGTGTTGCTTTTCATTCTTAAGGCCTGCTCATGCTAACTTCTGCCACTGCATATTAACTGGTGTTTTACATTCTCTAAATATCCTACGTATAGGTTAGGCTTGGGGCCATCACTAAAGGTTTCTATGTTATCAGCAATACATTATTTAAATAAAAAGACAAGAAGGTTGCTGCTATGCAAGGTGGGTCTCATTTTCAATAAAATATTTCTTTAGTAAAATATTTATTTCTCCTGTTCTGACTGTCTTCATCCTGGTGCAAATTAATAGTGCAGAAGCAAAGCTAATGAATGCAGCTTTACATGGTTTCTGTCCTTGTTTGCTCTCAGATATACTTAGAGGGTTTCTATTAAGCATTTTGAGACAGGTGATGCCTGCTCTCAAGGGCAGAATCCAGCTGATAACCAAATGTGGAATCAGGTGGAAAGTTTCTGTACCAGTGCCACTCTCTGGAAGAACCCACGTATGTGGGCATATATATTGTTGCTTTCAGCAAGAGGTTGTTGTAAGATTTTTCACTAAACACAGGTTGTAAAAGATTCTTGAACATGAGTCACTTTAAATTATAGTCCATGGATCTAAGGAAGTCACTGAGAAAATGGACCAGGAAAAAACATAGGATAAAGGCAAACTGCAAGACTTCTCTGTGGGATGTGGATTTTTGACAGCCAAACCCAATCCTTGTCTTGCTTGAAGGCTTGACCTTGATGTCAGGGCAAAGAGGGAGCAAACCTGTCTGGCTGACCCAAATTCTGAGCCTGTAAGACCTCCTCAGTACGAGCCTGTGAGACCACAGCTCTGGGAAAAGAGCTGACGTTACTTTATGAAGCGTTATGGCCAATCTTCTTTGGACTCTGATTTCTGTCAGAGAGTTATCATCACTGTCACAGTAAGTGATACTTGCAGCACAAATGGCAATTAACTAGAATAGTAGAGCAGAAGTCTGCAGACTGGTTTTTAGGGTTGATGAGCTGAAAGTAGTTTCAACACATTAATGCTAAACATGCTACATCACTGTGTGCCCTGAAGAAGACACAGTGTTATTTACATGAAATCACCAGGAATGACAGTAGTACAGATATCCTCGATTGTTGCAGCGTACTGTAGGTTCAATAACAGTTTGTGAGTCTTGTCTGCTGTGTTTTCTCAGATTTTTCCATAAAAGAAGTAATTTGTTTGTTTTTCACTGTTTTAGGTAGCCTGCCCTATGAATACAAGATTGTGATAGCAGGAAATCATGAATTGACCTTTGACCAGGAATTCATGGCTGACTTAATCAAGCAGGACTTTTACTATTTCCCTTCTGTCTCTAAGCTGAAGCCAGAGAGCTATGAAAATGTACAGTCTCTTCTAACAAACTGCATCTATCTTCAAGACTCTGAAGTGACGGTGAGGGGATTCAGAATATATGGCTCCCCTTGGTAAGCAGGTTTTTAAGCATACATTAAAAAAACACTGTTCATAGCTATCGCATCAGCCGTTTCGTATGCATCAGCTGTATTTGGAGTGATCTGTTAGGAAGAGAAGCAATACTCCCTTTGATAAAGTTTTTACATTTTCTTGTTGTGAATCATTCCTATGACAAAATAATGTACTTGTACTGTGGGTATTGTGAAACAAAAAATGAGAGGGAAAAGATAGTGTGCTCTTTAAACTACCAGCCAGGTGCTGTTCTACAACATAGTCCACACAGGGGGATTTATTGTCATAAAATGTTTTCAATACTCAGTGAGTTTATATAATTACAGGTTAATTTTATTGCAGGGGTACATTCTTTTTGACGATTTCCACACTACATGTAATATTTAAAGTTCACTGGTATATACAGTAGTCATTTAACCCAGCAAGCTTGTTCCAGTATTTGTTTAGGCTTTTTTTTTTCAGTATCTCACTTTCTGTTACACAGTAATAGCTTTCCTCAAGGTATAGTTGAGCTTCTAAACTGAAGTCAGCAAATCTGTGTCAACTTAATATTTCATGGATTTTGCTCTACTGCGTAGAATGAACACTTAGAACTCCTTGATACTGTTGGAAGCAGATGAGCTTTGGCATCCTGACCTCCACCTTGGACCTCATATGTGTTGCTTCTGTGTCTTTTACTTATGTTACATTACTGCTGTGTTATCTCTGATAACAGGACTGTAAATTGGGTCTTTTATGAGCGTTCAGTATACATTTAAAATGACTAAAAATTTATTTTAGAAGTCAAGTTTTTAAGAGAATCTGTTATTCTTCCTTTTAAAATAACATCAGGCTGGAATGTAGCAAACAAGTTGTCAAACCTGATGCATATACCCCAATGTGAATTTTCAGTGTGAATAAACTGTGAAATCTCTTGGATTTTTTTATTTTATTTTTTTTTTAATGAAAATTGGCATTTTCCCATTTGGTTACTTGAGATGGATGTTAATTTTCTCTAAGCTTATTATTTTACATTTGTCTACATTTAAATAGCTTCCCTCTTAAATGCACCCTTCTCTCTCCCTCTCTGAGATCTCCAGATCTTTCTGGTTTTTTTCAACCTACTCACCTGCTGTGTTGTAGTTCATTTTCCTCTTGTGTCTACTGTGCATTCAATCCATGTTCAATTTACTTAATTTTTCAAATTGTTAGGGAAGACATTAGATGGTATTAGTCCCAATATTAACTTCTGAGAAATGCCACTTGGCATCTCTTCCCATTTTGATATTCAACTGTAAATACTATAATTATGCTCTGCTTACACAGTGTCTGGCAACTTCATATCTTCATTGCAATACTCCTAACCAGGCACCATATTTCCAGTGTCAGTAACAATTTTCCAGCCAGTAAAGTACCAAAAGTCTCATTAAAGTCTGGATAAATAAAAGCAAAACAGTGTCTATAAAGTGGCACTAAGTAGAGGCTCAGGGAAACCATTTGAACTTTCTGTGTATGATTAGATCTGTAAAAATCTGTTGAGAAAACTTTTGTCCACCCACTAACCCATAAATAATGTTTCTGTACCATCAGATCTGCCACGTTCCCGTTGTGTGCTAATCCTGTCATTTTGCACAAGTTGTCTAAGCTATCTGGCATGACCTATTCTTCTTGGGGAAAAAAGACTGCTTTACATCTTTTATGCATCTCCAGGTTATGTCTAAACTTCCACACTACATGTTTCACAGTGTTGCTAACTCATCTCCCACCCCCTCATGGTCCTGGAAGATGAGTGTTGTAAGGTCCTGTGAAGATCTTTGCTTATTCCATATGGGAAAGTCTTGATGAAACTTTTCCATTCAGACTGGTTTTCTTCTTACTGTGCAATGCTGAATGAAGTTCCCATGTTAACTGATGTCCACCAGAAGCAGCAACAACAGTCATAGCCCTAATAAGTTGCTCTTTTAGTCTGTCAAATCACAGATGCCAAAGTAACAAAGTCTCATCAGCCTGCCCACCAGTCAGAAAACTGAGGAAGAAAAACAGCTGTTTTGTGTGGGTTAAACTAGCTGCCTTGCTACGTTGAAGGCTGTAGTTCAAGTCTGTGCCTAATGATCACTATTTTCTTCAGCATTTCTTTCTGTTTCTATACTTCATTCACCCTGAAAAGAGAGGTTTGTCATGGCCTCTCTGGGAAGTTTCTTTCTATGTCATAGTAGTGTAATCTCTAGAAAACTACAGAACTTTGGTGAATTTCCATGATGAACCTTTTTACCCTTGTGTCTTGAAGCCAGTCCTTTAGAAAATGCTTATGAACATAGTCAAAATTTAAAAATTTAGAGTTCTTTAAGATCTCAGTACTCAAGCTTAATTTCATGCAGTTGCTTGTTTAGTATCCTAAAGCAATTTTCTTTTCCAGCTGTGAAAATATGCATCTAGATTTTTGAATGGATTTTTTTTAATTGGAGAACTCCCAATTACAGTTTATGTTTCTTGTCCATACATGACTATTTAATGAGAAAGTTTGCTATCTAGAAGTTAAAAGACAGGGGTCCCAGGTGCTACCTTTCCCATTTCTGGTTACGGCTCCAACCTTCTGTCTTACTTCAAACTTTGTAAAAGTACAATCTAGAGAAACTCTCCTTTATAAAACAGGTTAGTCAAGAGTTGCAAAGTACTTTAAGAATGGTGGAGTAAGGTCTGAGTGAATGCCAACCAGCATTAACTTGGTGTATTTACTTACAGCCATCTGTGGCTTTACGTGCGACCCTTACACAATTAGATTGTACTTCTTAAAATGTTTTCCCTGCAAAGTAAACCATGGAGGCTTGATTGGTTTGCATAATGTGCCAGCCTCTGTGGCCTTTTAAATATCTACCATTTGTGTGTGGCTAAAAATTTTCAATAGCACTTGGGTATTTTGACCTCTATTATTATCCAAAACTCAGTGGTTATTTTTAATTGCATAGAAGAAATGGGACACTGTTTTGTCTCAGAAACCAATGCTTTAACTCTCCTGGGCTCCAAGGACAAGATTTCAAGTGCCAGATTGAGCCTTTACTCACCAACAAAAATTGAACTGCCTTAAGTGTTAATTATGCTAGTGTTATCATCAAGCAAGAGGCATCCATTTTGAAATCCAAGCTACAAAGCACAGAAGCTGCCATGTAGGAGTTAGTATTTGCAACACTTGGTAACTTGGACCACAAATTATCAGTATAGATGATGAGGGATGTCAGATGTGTCCAGAGCAATCTTGAATTTTAGGGATGGCTCTATTTGCCCTGGGGGGCTGCTGTTTTTGACAGTGTACCATACAGTGTTGGTTGCCAGATCTGGGTGAGCAGGGCACCTGGAAGAATGCAACGTGCTTCCCAGACACTGGGAACCATTGGGGCTTTTTCCCATATAAAGCATGGACACTATTATTTTTTTCATAAAAATCAAGGCACAGGAGATGTACTCTGGATTCATCCCAGCAAAACCCAGGACATGGCCAGAACATACTCACAGACCTGGAAGCAATCTTGTGTAGAGTTGCCATGAATGTTAAACAAAGGCTTTGGTTCCTCAGTAGCATTTATTGTAAATTGGAACGCCCCTGGTTTGAAAGCACTTTTAAACACCCTGCTTTTTTTTTTTTCTGGACTGCTATGGGAAAAGTCAAGCTGACAGACAGAATAACCCAAATAATTCTATATGAATAATTCTATATAATATATTTTTGACTGCTCAGCCTTCCCAAAGATGAAGCCATTTTCCAGAGGGATTTAATTTGGTTTTCAGTGGTATACAAAATCTTAACGTAGAAATAAAAATAGAGCAAGCAGGAAGACCAGAGAGGTGGCAGAGAATCCATCCTTATGTGTTCTCAAGATTTGGCAACAGTCATGGCCGACAGTTCTAGTGGTGGTGATTGGTAGGGAGTGGTAGGTTGACCTGAAAATCTCCAGACATCCTTTCTGAGCAGTATTTCTGTGATTCTGTCAGACCCACTGTGGAGCTAGAGCTAGGTGTCAGTGTTGATACCTGAAATGAGCAGTATTGACAAAGCCCTTAAAATAGGGAGCTTTGCTGTTGATGTCAAACTCCCTACAAGCAGTAGATGGTCCTGACAAGTTGTTTGGAAGTCAGGAAGCTAGGATAAAAGTGGAAGTGTGGATTTGAAGCAGAAGGTCTTTTCTGTGTCATCAGACTGGGTGTTAGCTCTGTGATGACGTCGTTCATGGAACCATATTAAAAAATTATTACTTGGCATTTCAGTTATAGATTTTCAGTCTTCTGTTATAGTTCATTGCCCATTTAATGTGTTTTTATTTTGCAAATAAGCATGGTGGTGTTAGGTACAGCTGAAATGAAGATAGGCTATACGATCCACTTGTGCCGTAGCACTGCTGAAGATTTCAGTTGCACAATTAGGCACTGTGTTTGCCCAAAAACCCTGATGCTTTCAGTGCTCAAGATCTGCTGTGCTTGCTGAATGAGTCAACTATGTATTAATCCTTTCATAGTAATTATTCACTATTGCCATGTAAAAATAAATGCCTATAAAGGTGCATGTACATTGTGGTGTCAATGTGAGAAGACTTCTCTGAGGTTCATACTTGCATTAGGGATCCTGAGTGTTGCTAGGTCTGCTGCTCTGCTGCACAAGGTTCCAATAATGGACTCTACCCTTCTGTGTGTTTTTTCCATTGTTTTTTCACAACTCAGTGTGTAAGTAACTTGGATGTCTGTTCTCCTATTGCATATAACAATTAATGATAAGACCTGAAGACTTATGCATTGACTCCTGATCCGTAATTAGAAGCTGTTTGTGCCTGGCAAAGGTTATACTGGCTGTTCCCCCAATATCTGATCTTGGATCCCTGTTCCAAATGCATAGAAAAGGTGCATCTGCAGCAGAACAAGTATTCTGTGCATATGCTCTGTGTATGTAGAAAACAGCAGGATTTCCAGTGGCATTTTCTGTTAAAAGGTGGATAATTGTACATTAATGGCAGAGTAGGAGTGCACATTTTTA